AGAAAACTTGATTAACAGTCTGACCTGGTGGAATGAACTCCAAATGCACTATGAGTCAACATTTTCGTCCATTTGGGAAATTGATGGACATCTAGAACGAGGTTTGTCATCAGTGAACATGTTAGCATTTTTGAAATGAGAAAACCACTTGTATACTTGCGTTTTTCCCATTGCACTGTCCTTATAAGCTGTGTTCAATATCACAACAGTTTCTGTGTTATTTTTCTCAAGCAGGAAACAAAATTTCACAGCCACACACTGTTCTCTTAAATTGGCATCACAAAAAATGAGATTCAAGCGAAACTGCTTTTATGAAAAAGTTCACAGTGACCAGAGAGAACCTTCCCAGGCAACGCCACTGGGCGCACAACAAACTCAGAGAGTTGCTTGAGGCTTGCCTAGTGGAAAAAATGCATACACAAGCTCTGCTCTGCCCAGTGCAATTCCGGTTTTTTGTTGTTTTTTTTTGAGTACTTCCTCATATGATGTTATACAACCTTCTCATATTCCTCATAGTTGTATAGTATTTCTTTTTATGTGTGTACCACAATTTATCTATCATCCATTGATGGCACTTAGGATGTGTCTATCTTTGTGCTATTGTGAATAGTGTAGTGAACACAGATATGCTTATGTATATTTATATCACTGGTCTTATAAATAGCTAGGAGTCCAATTGCTGGATTATAAAACATTCCTATTCCTAATATTCTAAGTCCCACCAACAATATATCAGACTTCCAATCCCCCACAATCTTGTCATAAGTTGTTTTCTGGCTTTTTGATTTTTTGCAGGAGTGAGAGGATATCTCATTTTAGTTTTGTTAATTAGAGAAATGTAAATTAATTGGGAGCCCTGACATGATGTTGTGCCAACCTGGCCAATAGGAACATGTGAGATTAATCAGGTTGCAGTTTGCTTGGAGGGCAAAGAGATAAATGGCTTGGCAAGGCCTGCCCCTCTCTCTCTTGCTCTCTGGTGATTGGACCAGCGTGCAGCTAGTTCTCTACCTCAACTTGTGAGCTGCACTACCTGTGGGACAAGCCAACTTATGGATTGTGTTGCTAGAGCTTAAGGTTCCTTCGAGACCTGCTTTGCCATGCTGCTGGTGTATCGCTTAAGCTTGAGACTGGCAGATTCTGTCATCTTGCATTGCTTGAGTTTGATATCCCATCCGGGCCTGCTTCACTAAGCTCCTGAGCTGCTGACTGTTGGTGACCTGCCCAGCTCCTTGCTGCTTGTGGCCCGACTACCTGCATTTCTCTAGGGAAGACTCAGCTGTCTGCTTCCTTGACCTTGGACCCAGCAGCCTTCATTAGCTGAAGGACTTCCAGTATATTAATTGTTCCATGAAAGTGAGTTGAACTGAGCCCTCTGTACGGCTGTGTGGAGTAATTAGCTGTTATATTCCCTCGTGCTGTATATATCTATCCATATATATATTTGGATTATATATATCGAGTCATATATATTTATGATTAGATATATATAATCATAAATATCCTGGTTTTGTTTCTCTAGAGAACCATGTCTAACACACCTGATGATGCTGATGAATAAAAGGTAGATTATCAACCTCATAATTGGCAGTTCAAATCCACCATCCACTCTGTGAGAGAAAGATGAGGCTAGCTGTTTCTATATAGATTTACAAAGTCTCAAAAACCCTAATCAGGGTCATCATGAGTCCAAATTAACTCGATGGGAGTGGGTTTTAATGGCTAATTATCAAGAGCATCTTTTCATGTATTTGCTGCCTGCCGGAATATCCTCTTTGGTGAAGAGTCTGTTTATGTAATTTGCCCACTTTTGATTGGATTATTTATCTTTTTGTTGTTGAAGTTTTCTTTATAACTTAGAGAATAAAACTCTTATCAGATATGCCATTTTTCCCACCCAGGCTGTAGG